ACGAATGTAACTCTCGGGAGCTGGAGATTTTTTTATCCCAGCTTCTGCAGAACCACAAATTCCTATCACCAGTGTTCTAATTTAGGTATGTTTTCTAGGAGGAACTCCCAGGCTAATGCTTTAGGATTTCCTTTCACGTCGTTTAAGGCGATATGTATTGCACTTGAAAGATGTTCCTGAGGAATAAATGGCTTTTTTCTAATTTGATCGACAAAGTGCAGAAATTACTAATCTTTTTGCACCTTCCTTCCCAATCTGCAGCTACTTTACAACATTTTCTTCGTTCTTTCAAGCCTATCACCAACACATTACTGCGCTGTAAAGGTTTGTATGAACGATCATTTGCTTTTGGATTATTTCAAAGTACAAAACTCGTTACTTCGTGCCTGGTACCGATTAGTCATTGTTCCCACGTCGATTGCTTGTGCAACAGCAACTTCAGCTAGACATGTGGTCTTGCAATAGGGACTCTCACTGGTCTTGGATGTTTCTAGAAGAACTTAGCTCTCACTAGATCCCATATAGACTTTTTTAGAAGCCTTGCAGCTCATATAGGGGTTCCAGATTATTTTAGGCGTTTTCCATCGTCAATGTCATCCGTAGAACGGCAGAAAGCATTTAATGGCTTCTCTGTTTGCAGCTTAAGCTTGCTGTTAATAACTGCTTGTTATATATAAAATGCAAGATCCCTTCAGAGTTGCCAAGTCACAAACGAGTCATAATCCCCTACAAGGGATTAGNAGGGATTAGGACGGACAGAGCAAGAATCAGCGCTAGATCGCCCAAGGCTAATCGACTCTGCTTCTGAAACAGGAAAAGCATGGAAATCCTCTCAAGGGAGCCTTAAACCATGGGTTTTGCGGGTTCCCAGGAGTGCAGAGGTTGATAGCACCTATTTCTTTGTTGATGTGAAGCTGCTAGAGAGTTTAAAAAAACGATTTGTAATTACCCTTCCTGCATTGGCAGGATTTCACCCTAAGCTGGTTTGAAAAGAGGGCTGTGGAGGGCGTGGGGTGTTGGGTGAGTTCGGGAAGGTAGGCTTACCCGATGCCGTAGCTTTCGATTCTGGCTCGGTTTACGCCGGTATCCGTAGCTAGTCAAGGAAAAGGGGATAGGGAATGTAAAGGAAGGGGAGGTCTGGCGATACAGTTATTTGAATATTTCTGAATGCAGCCTCATTGTAAATAAGAATTTTGATTCCCGACAGACACTCTTACTCCCTATTTAAGCTCCTGTACCATCCACTTTACTAATTATGCTGCTTAGGTTATTATTAGAGGTAGATTACACCTTTCTCTCATACTACTTACTGCTGCTACCATACTTGCAAAAATTGTCGACTTCAATATGCAAACAAAAGGGTAAAGAGGTTTCGATGTTGATCAATGTCCACAAATACGCCATCTCTTTCGGCTTCTTCTCCGAATCGTAGTCACATTTGGAAGCGCTGTTAGTCTTTACATTGACTTAGAGGAACTAGTGCAAGACATCAGGTATGCCCTACCAGATGACTGTGCAATCACTTTACCGATTTCGTAGGTGTGGATGTTGGATAGACTTCGGAGGGGTGTCAGTCCTGGGTATGACTCTTGGACTAGTACGGTGGTGATGCACCTCGGTGCAACCTCAAAGCCACCCCTTGCTAACCTAGACGAACTTGAAGGCCCACCTGCTCCAATCCCGTGGTGTCAGTCCATCTTTGGCTTCGATTTTCAGACCCGTTTGGGCTTACCCAACCTGGGGGAGGGCTCGATTGCTTTTCGAGTGAAAATGTAAATTGTGTGAAATATGTAGTGAAGGGCATTTAAAAGGACTCCTGCCTCTGAGTGGGGTCCGGCCTGTTGTTGGTAAGCGGATGGTACCACCTTTATTGTTGACCATTGAGTAGTCCCAGGAGGATAGCTGGAGATTATTTGTGACTCAAAGTCAGGGATACAATCTAAAGTTGCAGCTGATTTCTCAGCTTAATGCCACTATTTTAGAGGAAATATCAAGTCATTTGGAAACAAACTGATGTAATTTGAAACTCTCAAAGTCCTATTTTCCTGTCCTTCTTTCCGAGTTCTTCTTGCTATGGTTGACCAGGTTGACGAGACGTCATTATCTCACAAGCGACATTTTATGCAAACTGGTGAGAGCATTTTATGCTTTGTCGTTAAGCTCGTGGGAATTGAGTCATTGAAGGAAAAACGTTGTATTTAAGCGAGAAATATCCACAACTTGGGGCATGCTTTGGCAATTTCCTGCGGGTGTCATAAACTCGGCATTACCTGAAAAAAAAAGCCCGAAGGACCAGGTTGAGTTGGAGATTGGTCAGGTATAGGAGCAGTGCGGGGCATAAAAAAAGGTTTTATGGGAATACGCCTGTGAACCACACAAGGCAGCGCTAGCTGAAATTGTGATAGCCAACATTCGAGACTTTTTTGATCAATTTCAAAACATGCCAGAAACTGGGGGAATGTTAGGTGACCACTTAGAACATGACAACAATCCATCGAATGTGGGCGGAGGGTCTCCAAGTGGGTGGTGCCCGCGAAATTTATGATTTGGCTTTTAGAGAGTTTCGAGACCTTGAAAATTTGGAGGAAAGGTGTATTGTTCAGGGGTGTAGGTCTTTGGGTATATGAAGGTTTCCTTACCCATGGCATGCCAATTAAGGTGAGCTGCTTGCTACAAAGACTCACATCTCTGGTTGGTTAAGATCGAACAATCGAGAAAAACGATTAGGAGTGAGTAATTGCTTTAAGGCATTGATCACGAAAAAGTGGTTTCGGAGATTTGCACATGGTTAGAATTCGAAGCCCCCTCTGATACCATTTGTGCAGGAGTGAGGTCGGAAAACGGCTGGATAGGGCACAATAAGGGCAGGATCAGTGGGGGACGGGAGGCCTCCGCTCCCCGCTAGGCTCACTACGAGTTCTAATTGTCCTTCACCACATTCGCATTGGAGCGAAGTTGGTGAAAAGTCGATAAGCTGGTCGGCAAATTGCCAGAGACGCAATGTGTTGTCTGCTATTGCAGACAACACATTGCGTCGCTTTCGTGCACTCGCCCGAACACTCCCTAACCGCCGTTCTTTCAATGTGAAACTCGTCCAATCCCCCTTTCCAGCTCTTTTTTTGACCCTCTGTAATTCTTTTTGTTCATCGTTTTTTTTTGCGTTTTTTTCGTTGTTATCGCTTTATTCTAGAGTAGTTCTATCAATTCCCGTCAAAAAAGGGTACCCTAACTTTTTTGTGAACGGTGCCTTTCAGGATCACCGTTATGGCATGATAGTGGGAGGAGCAAAGTGACGAAAGGCGGAGATGGCCAGATTGGTAAGAGTCTCGGTTCTGGAGGTATGAAGGTTTGGAATTCCATGAAGAAGAAAAACCAAAAAACTAAGCAAGTGATCGGGATCTCTTCAGCACTTTGAGAATTTTTCTGATCAAGGGTTACTTGGTCTGTAAATTCAGTGCCCAAAAGTACAATCACTCTACAAACCATTGTTCAACAAGATGCCTTTCTTCAAATTTCCGGTTAAAAAATAGTTTGGGCGATGACAATGTTATAATGGCAAGCAGGCATCTTTTTACGACAAAAACATTCATCACGAAGCTGTCACGAAGCAACAAAGCACTTTAGAACTCTTCGCATGGCAGATATAGTCCAGTGGGAAGATGGAACATGCGGCATACGTTCTCCGTGCAACGACAACGTGCTGCAAAAAAAAAACAATTGAAAATAAAATTCGATTTACAGAGTGGGCCAAAGTCATGATGACGCAAAAATTAGTTAAGTTAATAAAAGAAAGTAACTCAAGAAGCATTGGTCATTAATGTTTTGTTGCCTTCTGTTTCCACTCAAGCGCGGAGACAATGAGGACAGGGTTGACAGTGGCACGCAGCCAGGATACGCAAAGTTGATCTCAAGCTTTTTGCACTAAATTTTCAATACTATCCAAGTTCCTATGTTGTTTGACGCACGCTCTTACTTTCATAGTCGACCACTGAGAAATCCATGAGATTCAGGTCAGGGCTTCTCAAAGTCCCATTGTTACAAGCAATTAACGCCGGGAACGCCCTCAGGAGCTCTGTCTTGACGATATGTCCGATTCTGATCGCGAAATGTCCTTACGCTCAGGTCGAGACGACCAATTAGAACTCTTTGCCAGTTTAACTCCTCGAAATGCGAGGATTAGCGGTAATGCCCGGTGAGACGTTCGAAGAAAAAACTTCGAGAAGAGCTAATCACTCATCTACTATTACAAAGATAGGTTAACTGATTTTTGTTGTATTCTACTCCCGTGCAAGTCCGAGTCCCCAGACGGTGAAGGAAGCCGTCGACAATGGCACACAGTTAAGTTGCGCAGAGTTAATCCCAGGCCTCTGCAGTGAACTCCTGAGACTATCCAATTTCTTCTGTGGTGTAGCGCAAGCTATTCCTTCCATGGATGACCAAACTGAGAAATCCGTGGGATTGAGGACAGGTCAGGACTTCTGAACTCAATTATCAAAGACCTCGATACTCCCTCCCACCATTCCCAATCTTTGATCTGGAGCTCCATCTTATTGATATGTCCGGTACAATGTGTGTGCCGCCAGAGTGTCCTAATACACACGGAAGGGACGAGTAGACCCACCTATTGGCTTTGACTCCTTGAGGGACGAAGATTAGCTGTCTTTTCGCCTCGGCGGTGATGTCGAGTAAGGAAATCAAGGAAGGTGGGTGAGCTTCGCGGTGAACCACTCCCTTTGGTTTTTGCTTTGCATAAATCCTGCGGTTCTCTCTATTGAGCACCTCTTCCACCAGGAATATCTTTTTGTCGGTGAATAGGATTCCCTCCCTCAATAGATTCACGATGTTATGATGCTTTCACTATTCCAAAAATCTGTCGAATGTTCAGTTCCATCACGAAGGGAATAATGTAATCAGTCCTACGATATGCAAAGGACCAGGCCAAATGTCTAAAAATCAGAAGAAAAGTGGTACGAGCGCTTGCACATGCTGTCATCATAACTTTAGCCCAGCCTGTTCAATTCAAACAACTTTTTTAACTCACCTCCTCGAGTTTTCGACGCTATTTCAAGCCGTTTCGTTCGTTCCTCTGAAAATTGATTTTGAAGAGAGGTAACTTTTTCACCACTCAAAAATAAAATAACAGCTGAAGATTTTGTGAAACCAAGGACAAGGGCAATCAGGAAACTGCTTCCCCTAATATAGTCACTTCTGTTGGATTGCTAGGCTTACTAAAGTATCTGTTATTGTTATGACAGAGTAAGAAAACGGACCAGCAATGGAGATTGGTAACCCGTCGTCCAAAATCGGCTCTGTCCTCCAACACTGAAATGACGACGAACACGGCTTTCCGAACTGAAAAATGGAGTTAGAGTCGACGCAGAAGGCACTAGAGCAGTAAGTACATGTGTGAATCTCCCTCCTACGGCAGGGTGCTGCTCACCTGGGAGCTGGAGTCGGACTGTGAATAGGCGACAAATAAAGCGGCGTGCAGTGTTGCTATGTAGACAAGGAAACCGTTCATTTGAAGACTGAAACACTGTTAAACTGATATGAGCTGACGACGACGACGAGTTGAGATCACGCTCACAAGAAGGAGAAGCAGGAGTAAATAAAGCTCTAGGAAGATCGGAACGAGAGCTGGAAACCTCGGCCAGGTTCAAAAATTACTCGAGTAATAGCTATCACTGAACTAGTAGGACATCTGAATCAATCAGTTACTACATCAGTTACTATCTTGTTGTCAGTCCCTTTGACAGCAATCACTACATGAAAGGGGAAGTTACTCTTGGGAAGGAGTCAAGGTACAAATTCGAGCAGACCTAAGTAATTTCCTTCCTTCCTGAGCAATCCTACACTACAATTTCCCTACATTACTCTTCGCACACTGTTAGAACAGCAAAAGCAAGGGGATGGAGAGATAAATAATTGACAGTGAAAAAAAGATTCCATTGGGATCGGCCATGTCTTCTAGGATTGCCAAATACGTAACGATTCCAGCAGGAAACTTCATAGTGACATACTCAGAGGGCGATAGCTGGTCTCAACGATTGGCCTCGCTGTGCCCATTACGTACAACACCAGAGTTAATTTTTGGGAGGTCAGTTCTATCCCTCGAAATGAGAATTTATGTAGAGCAATGGCATCTGATGCCACACCTCTTGCTGGTGTAATCGGCAATATAACCGTGGATGTAAATCCGCACAAGCCAATAATTTAGTTCTTTTTTGAGACAGACCCGACAGATTAATGGCAGTAGCGCATAATGGCCATGGCTCCTCCAACAGGTCAAAAACTAACATTTCTACCAAGTTCAGTATTGCTTCTCATTTCTTTGTCGCAATTTTATTGGATTACTCCAAAGTCAAAGTCCCTGAAGGACGAACAAGAAGAGAATAGGTAGAAAAAATAGAAGGAAAAGGAATAAAATCAGAATGGGAATCGGGATCGGTCGCTCAGGATGGAACCGCAAAAATCAGCTTTTCCAATTCATATTTCCTCAATGGCTCCGTAATCAAGCAGTCGAGTGGCTAGGGCAGTAAGTTCGCAGTATATCCCATATAATCTGGGCAGTATATCCCATGATGGTCTCCTACCACTGGGTTCAGCGGGAACTTCTGGTTCAGCAGTTAACTATTTAATGTTTCCAATTAACCATTCCCCAGTTCCCCAGCTGTGAAACACTTTTTGGTTTCCAAATCTTTCAGAACGCCCTCTGGCACTTTTTCGAATTCTGCATTCTGATGTTGAAAGAATTCTTCCCATGTAGAATCCTACGTTGTGTCCCGGGTGGGAGTGGAATGGGACCAAACGGTGCCACTAGTGCACTTGCGACTCGGGGAACAATTCCTGGTTCACTCCTCATGAATTGAGAACAAAGAAAAGCAAAGCAAAATTGCATAAGAGTAGCATGAAAAAACATCAAATCTCGTATAAAACAAGAAAAATTGTGATAAATCAAAAATAAGCAAATAAATAAGTAAACAAGTAACTAAACAATTGAATCTCCAGAGAAAACTGAATATTCTATGTATACGAAAAACGATAGACACAATTCCATGAAGGAAATTTCTAAAGCAACAACAAGCTAATAGAAAGCTCTTAAGCTCTATTGAATCAACGGCAATGGCCCAGTACTGGAGGCTGTCACTGGCAGTTTGAAGGAGCATCTAATTCCAGAGTTTAGTAAAAACCTAAGTACAAATCAAAGCTCCGAATTCCCTTCGGAAGCTTCCCTTTCCATAGAACTTATGGCACTTGACGATTGGGTACCGCTAGGATTAATTCATTCAATATTCGGTTAAGGTTAGCGAGACTTGAGAGACAAGCCCCACTTGAAAAAAATTCAAAAAAATTTGAGGCTAAATTGAAAAATAACACGACTGTGCTGAAACAGAGGATGGTCAGCAAAATACCTGTCATTTCACCAACAATTTTCAGAGAAATTTCCTTGTGGGCATATAAAAAATCGGATTTTTACGGAAACTTGAGAAATATCCGAAGAAAAAAAGACCGCTAGGAGAAGAATGCTAAATGGGAAGCAATGCTTTTTCTAGGTCCGGGATTGAAAGGCGGTACATGTATTGAGCGTTTGGGGAGGCTTCTGGCATCATTGTTACTTCCTAAGTGGCGTGTCAGCCTTCTTGATTGGGAAGACACAATGACGTGTACGGGGTGGCCTTAGGGACCACCGCCACCAAATACTTATCAAAAACACAAAAAACATTCGGTACTAGAAACATGGACACCCAAGGAAGGTTTGGGTTCTTATGTGGGTGAAATGCCATACCAAGGTAAAACTATAGAAACGAAAAAGGAAACATAGTGGTTGAAAAGAGGAACGAGAAGACTTTCTCTAACGACCAGTCCGTCTTGCAGTAATCATCTGCGACTTTTGCAGTTTTTTTACGACACGAAAATAAAGTCGTAATCGTAAAAGATCCCTACTTCATTATTGAAAACAGACAGATTGTCTACTGGAACCATGTAAGTAAATAAATATCAGCACCTAGAGAAACTTTCACCCAAAGCGAAATAAATAAGGTCAAGCTAAGAAAATACGTAGAAGTCAGAACCAAGTTAAAAAAAAATTAGAAAAAATTGATTTAATGGCAGTAAAATGTCAAGAAAAAAAAAGAAAGTCAATCAAATGAGTTTTTAACCACTTGGCAAATCTAATTTCTCCAGGTTTGATTGGAATAATAATAATGAAGGGATTGGATAGAAGGTATAGCTATAACTTGTGTAGGATCAAGGCTTTGCCATTGATTAGTCCAATCGGAGATGCGCCTCGCATTTACCTTTCACTAATTGGTAAGAATTGTAGTGGCCCAATTAAAAGGTTTTAAAAATTAATAAATAATTATTTTCAAGGTCCAAATTTAAATTTTAGTAATAGATTGTTTTCTAGTTATATAGATTGATTTCATAATTTCAATTGTAGCCTGTTGTTGGGAAATGCGTCTATGGCCTATAAATACAATGAATTGCGGAAGCTAGTCGATTTCCAAGTCAAAGATTTATCGCCCTAGATGAGCCTGGTACTGATCAGACGACCCAGACCCGAAATGGAAGTCGCTGTTGTTTGGCTGAGTATCGACGAGACATTTTTTCATTAGGAAAAGTGTTTTACAAAGATTTGTACGGTACAGTCTACATGGGTAAAGAATGTAATGCCTTCATGATGAAGACTCAGAAAAGGTAAATTGAAATAATATAAAATAATAAAAAATTTGTTTGAAATTTTTGTTTGGAATTTGTAATTTTTCTTACGTTTAGCTGCAGTTTAAGTAAGTACAACCTTCTGATGGCTGCTTATTTGATTTTGATACCTGTTGCCGTACCTTAAATCTTTGAATTATTTACATTTTTTATTCTCTTTTAACTGAAAAATATTTAAAGATTGTCATTTGTAGGCTCATAAAGAAGGATGGAATTGATAGGATATCAAACTATTCCTCGTTTTTTTTGGGAGAAAAAAGATTTTTACCACACTCAGGTACTTTAAAGGCAGTTCACGATAATTTTGAGGTACTCGTTTTTATTCGTAAAGCGGAAGTACAGATTGGGAATGGCTCATCGGTAGTGAAGGAAGCAAGAGAATTCGCCCATTTCAAGAAAAATACGGCTCCTCAAAAGTAGGGAATATAGAGGTTGGACGAGATTGCCACAATGGAAATAAGATGGAAGGGGTATTCGGACGAGATTTCAGTTATTGCAATAGCGCAAAGAGCTGAATACATCAAGCCAGAACTGTACAAAACTGTTTTTCACTGTCGCTATGGGTCATGACAAGCTGTTTGAACTTCCTACATGGGTTCCCATGTGATCGGTAGAGACTCTACAATGCCAGTGAAACTCGTCCGAGGATACACACGGGCCAATCTTTGAGCCTTTATAATTCCCTGGCTAGGCTGTTTCCGACTTAATAGTGCCAGATATAGTATACGCGGGAGCATCAAATTCATCTTGTGGAGGAATCTCGGGAACCACTTTTATCGTGAACTGTGCCTTCAAGTGTATTATAGAAGCCAGGAGTATGAGATAAAGAGAATTGCCATATCTAATATAGAAAGTGAAATGCACTTCATCCTTAAAAAAGAACTGGCTGGGGATGTTTGGCTATTTCAACAACAAATCCTGTTTACTTTGATTGCTGTAGCTGCAAATTACACTCTTCAATTGCAATTTAAATTTGAGATCGTATCGTAAAGGTACGAAAGTATAAGGTAGTGCTTCTAGCCTTTATAAGGCCAATCCGATACTAACATAAGTGAGTAAACAGAAAGCCAAAAGGTTTGCTTTAAAAGTGGGATTGGAACTATGAACTTTGCTCATGATGCCCACTTTAGTTACATTCCCTGCGCCACCCATTTCGGACTTCGAAAGAGAAGTAATTGCAGTATATAAAGGATAAAAGATAAAGTCATGAGCGTTAATCAATCTCGTATGAGGGAACGCGCCTCGCATGCCATTCTATTCAGGATCGTAGTGGCGTATTGAATGTGTATATAGCAGTACCGGTCAGTGAAGTATTCGTTTTCACTTTTTCAAACATAACTTCCTCAAAACTCAAGCTTCGTGCTAGAAACTCAGACAGTAGAAAACTTAGGCAGTTAGTAATATTATACTGCCGTAATGGCCCAGCAGCACATTTCCAAGCAAAACTAGCGCTTTATCTTCAAATCGCCCGCCAACACACATTTCTACCTTCTGTAACTATTGGGTTTTTATATTAAAAATTTCGGGTGGTTCTTAATGTTTTGGGTCACGTCATGCACCCACTACGTTATTAAGGCTATGGCAAGGCATACCAGAATCCGTAACTTGCGGCAAGACCAAGTTGATGCCATAACTCCGAGCTTCCACGCAGGCTTAAAATCAAGGCAAGTTTCAGAAATTCAAGGAGTGACAATTAGATGTGTTCAAAGGATTTGGTAGAAATATAAGGACACAGAGTCGGTAGAAGTCAAAAAACACCCAGGAGCAGCGAGAACGACGTCTCGTCTTGTGGACAGAAACATTGTGCGGCTTGCAAGGAACGATCCGCGTCTCACTGCAGCCGAGATTCTTCGCGAAATATCGACGCCCGAAGGACCTAACCCATCTTTGAGCACGTCCTTGCGTCGACT